TGCTGGGCGATGTTCATGTTGCAGAGAATTATGCAACTGATAGTTAATGGAAAATTTCATTTTCGATAGGAAGATATGGGGTCGATTCTGTAGCTGCATATGAAAACCGCCAGAATCTATCACCAGTGCATGCATTCTGCCTTAAAAATGGCTTGAAATTTCTGTTTCTAGGCTGACAATATATTTTTCTTTATTTTTATCTAACGTAAATGGGAAAACCTGTAAGTTTTTTTTTTTTTTTTTTTGGTTTGTTAGCTAAAGTATTTCTCCAAAATGTACATCATAAAATAGAAATCATAATCCACTATTCTTACTGTGAGCAGTTTCACACGGGAACTATTTTCTTTCTACCAATTTACACCTGCAAACCACATCACTGCGCCCATAGGGTGCGCATAAACGCGAGCAGAGGCTTGGGTGAAGACTCCGGCACACATTATATGTGGTATATTACTTTGACCAAAACTCTAGCTGGCTTCTGTTCTGCCAGTGGACCTTGTGGATATTACAGGATGCTGACACAGACGTTTCCTCCAGTGGTTTCTTTTAAACGCCGTATATTGGAATTCAGCGGGGGGTGACTTCAAAAACAGTCTTTTCTTTGCTCGATATCTGTTACCTTTACTTGGTTGTACTGCTGATGCCTTCATCACCCATCTCTGGTGTGAGTTGATGATTTACACCACAGAGCTGATGAAAAGTGTGACACCCATTATTTAGTCAATATTAGCATGTCATGTAAAATTGTTGCATAGGAAAACGTTTATTACGCTCACCTGCTATTTTATTAGGCACACCTGTATAACTGTCCCAATCAGTTAATAAAATGGCAGCAATTCAGTGGATTTACTCATTGCCAAGATCACTTGCTGGAGTTCAAATTGTCGCATCAGAAATGGAGAAGGGTGATTTAAGTAACTTTTGAACTTTCTATGAGGCAAGTGTGAGTATTTTAGAAAACTGTTGATCTACTGAGGTTTTCCCGCACAACCATCTCTGGAGTTTACAGAGAATGGTCTGAAAAGGAGAAAATATCCAGTGAGCTGCAGCTTTCTGAGACAAAATGCTTTATTATCAGAGGTCAGAGGAGAATAGCAAGACTGCTTCAGGCTGATAGGAAGGAAACAGCAACTCAAATAACTGTTCAGTACAATTGAAGTATGCAGAAGAGCCTCTCTGAATGGACAACACGTCGAACCTTGAAGGTGATGAACTACAGCCATAGAAGACCACGCTGGGTAGCACTCCAGTTAGCTGAGAGCAGGAAACCGAAGCTACAATTAAGGCTCGCATGAAGAACAGGACAGTATTGGAAAACCTTCACCTGGTTTGATGAGTCTCAATTTCTTCTGCAACTTTCTGACTGTAGGATCAGAATTTGGGATATGAATACATCCTGCCTTGCATCAAAAGTTCAAACTGGTGGTGGTGTAATAGTGTGGGAGATTTTCTTGCAACCCTCTGAGCGCCTTAGTACCAGCCGAGCATCATTTAACCACCACCGCTTACCTGAGGTATTGGTGGTGACAGTGTTTATCCCACTAGGATCAGTGTACTGATCTTCTGATGGTTGCTTCCAGGAGGATAACACACCCATTCACAATGTTCAGATCACCTCAGTGTTTCATAACTTGGCAATGAGTTCACTGTACTGAATGACCTCCAATGAAGCACATTTGGGATGAAATGAGATTTGCCTCATGGATGTGCAAAAACTGTAATGCTTTCATGTCAAAAAGGACCAACCCTGTATTTAACGTGTGCCTAATCAAGTGCTACCTAAGTCGAAGCACAACCTTTTTCCCCCCCCCTTCTTCAATGGCACTACCGATCATGTATGACAAACCAACACAGGAGATGGACCCAAAGAAAGAGATGCACTCGTGTTACAGTTAGAGTCATGTTTATTTACAGCAGAATCCTGAATGAGGGGGGAGAGGAGCAAAGGGGGCGGGGAAGAGGGGTTAAAAGGAGACAAAGTGTTTTTAGATCAAGCGCTTCAGGATTCATGTTTCACTACACAGTTCTTAATTTATTTTATTCACCATTTTTCTATACAGAATCCATTCAGCCGTAATATCAACTCAACCGACAGAGCTCGTGTGCTCTGCTGGAGGGGAAGAGAGATGGAAAGAAAAAAAACAAAGAAAAAGAAAAAACCTAAAGCACTAAACTAAAAATACAGAGGGGCTAAAAAGAAAACAAATTTCAATAAAAAAAACAAAACAAAAAACCCCCCAAGATCATTAGTTATGCATATATTCACATATACATACACACACACACACACGGGTATGTATATG